ATATATATATATATACTTGGATAGTATTCAATTAACTAACATATTCAGTTAGAACATTTCAAATTCCCGAAAAATTTGTCTAAAAACCAAATTATCCGCAAGGTAAAGTACAAGTATGTGAAAAGACGTAGCATTGTTTTAAGAAGATGTACTTTTTCCCCATTAACTACTCAACAAGATGAAATTATTTGAGTCAGTTTCTAGGTGAATACAATGATCTCGAAAAGTTGGATAAAAAAACTGATGGTAATATCACGATCTAAAGAATTATTTGGATAAATGCTGGGTGAATGCAAGGTGTCTGTGTGGGCCAACATTGTACATTTAAGATTTGCAATAGCATGGCAAAGAGCTTAATATAATCAGTTAATACATGCAAAAAACACGTAATTTTTAAGGGAAAATTTCTAAATCATTAAGACATTTATTTCTGAATCTTTGGATAATTAAAATATTTGCCAAGAGCAGCGGGTTTATGAGAATGGATTAGTGACCAATTGGAGTCTTAGTTATTGTCGCGAGGGTCTTTTATCTCAAAATGTCAAGTGGGAGGTTGGCACCTGATATAGACTCTGTTAATTTGTATCGTGAAAAACATATTCTGCTTCATGGATACATGTGGCCTTTTGTTGCACTATATTCTATCTGGTTTGGCTACTGGTTCGGCACCCTGGGGGCTTCCGAATATCTCGAGTTGGGGCTGATTGGTGTCGCGGTGATTGGAGTTATTCAGATATTGACAGCTCTATTCTGCTTTTGGTTTGTGCCTGTTCGGTGCTTGCTAATGTTCAGAAAGGTAAACAAGTTAATAAGCTTATTTTGTAGGAAAAATCTGTATCTCAGGCCACGTTTGCCAAGGTGGTTCCACCACCAAATACTGGATATACTACCGTTGTCCGTATTTTCCATACAAAGGTATAGTTTTTTTTATGCATCTACGATGTCTTAGAGTATTGCAACTCAGGAAATGTCGCACTATTTCTTTTTCCAACGGCTGAAGTACACATTTGATTCCGACGACAAAGACAGCATTCACGCCGTTAAATTTCCCCTAAGTTGGTCGCTAAATCAATACAAGGATTGGCGCGGCTACGGGTCAGAAGAAAGTGTTAATATCGCCAAGGAGACGTATGGTGACAACCAGTAACTGAGTCGTTCTTCTTAAATTCCGTCCTCCTTAGTCTACGCCTCTCTGTTCCGCCATTTTTGGAGTTGTTTTTGGAGCGTGCTACGGCTCCGTTCTTTGTGTTCCAAGTATTTAGCGTATTTTTGTGGTGCCTCGACGAGTATTGGCTGTACCCGATCATGACTCTCGCTCTGCTAGTTTTATTTGAAAGTGGCTTGGTCGTACAACAACTGAAAAACCTTAAAGAAATACGTTCCATGAGTGCGCAACCGTATAGACTTTACGTGAGTTAATTGGCTGTCATCAGAACCCCCATTGTTTCTCAGTTTTTATGCGTTTTTTGCCTTTGATTTAGGTTTATAGGAACAAAAAGTGGTGCTCCATATCTAGCGAGGAAATAGTCGCCTGTGATATTGTTTCCGTTACTCAGTCTGTTCACGAGAAACTCATTCCGTGTGATTTGCTTCTTTTGCGTGGCACTTGTATCGTCGACGAATCTATGCTCACTGGTGAATCTATTCCTGTTACCAAGGTATTATATTTCTTACCTACGTAATTTCGGGCCTCAGTCTTACGTGAGCAATCCCACCGTCATGTCAAACCCCACTATTGTAAATATTGCCTTAGAGATGAAATGTGCTTTTACACACCTTGTGAAATAGCCATTCTATTCGTTTTCAAAAATCTTTTTACCGCGACTGCAATCTTAACTGCTCGCTTTCTTTGATTATTTACGAGCTTATTTAAACACTAACCAGTTGTCAGTGTCGTTGCTGTACTGATTTCTCTTTCAAGGAACCCATTGAGGCGCTGACGTCGATGAAACCGATCAGCTTTGACGAGGACGACAAAATGCACGTGCTTTTCGGCGGCACAAAAATTGTACAGATGACGCCACCTGCAAAGTACACCAATCTACCGAAGGGTATGCGTGTTGCCTGTCTCCGTGTCTCGCACCCTCCTTCCCCTTAATGCCGGTTTTGTTTGGCTTTACAGCTCCCGACAACGGCTGTCCGTGTTTTGTGTTGCGTACGGGTCTGAGCACGTGTCAGGGTCGCCTCCTCAAGACCATCATGTTTAGCGTCAAGGCCGTCACCGCTAACAACCTGGAGACCCTCGCGTTCATTGGCTTCCTCCTTGTATTTGCCATCACCGCGTCTGCCTACGTGTGGATTGTGGGTGAGGTCATCCACTCACGCCCTAGATCGTGATCCCTGGTTTGGCGCGAATTCATCATGCCCCTCTGCTCCACTTTCAGGCACTTCCGATCCTCGCAGAAATCGATACAAACTCTTCCTGGAGTGTACCCTCATTATCACCTCGGTTATTCCCCAGGAACTGCCAATTGAGCTCTCTTTGGCTGTCAACACCTCGCTGGCGTCTCTGTCGAAAATGCGTACGTTTCACATATGTGTGCTCATTGTCACTCCACGTCACACACTCTATTTGTCTGGCTCGTGGGCTGTTTTGTCTCTCTCTAGTATTCTTGTAAATTTGATTACCCACGCATCTGTGTGTGTGTGAGTGTGACTGTCAACTTTGCAATATGCAAATTACGTTAAACCTGTAGTGACCCGACTCTTTGTACATGGATTACTACTTATAGTACTTAAGTACAACCTAATTTACAAAATTCTGACAGGCAGTTGGCTAAAACCGATACGTGACGCCACGCTTCAAGCGTCCATTGTTTTCTCCTGTTTTAGTGATTTACTGCACGGAACCGTTCAGGATACCCCTAGCTGGTCGTGTGGACATTTGCTGCTTCGACAAGACCGGCACTCTCACAGAGGACGAGGTGGTTGTGGAGGGTGTCACCGGGCTCAAGTAGGTCCTCCTTTGGTTTTCGCCTGTGTCGACGACGCCACGGTTTCTAACTTGCCCCGCTTCGTGTCTCTGTAGCGGAGAACTAGCCGAGAAGATAGTGTCGGTGCGCAAGTGTCCTCTCGCCACGGTCCAGGTTCTCGCGTCCGCCCACGCGCTAGTCCACTCCGACTCGGGTCTTCTCGGTGATCCGCTCGAGAAGGCGATGCTCAAGGCCGTTGGATGGAGTCTGAACAGCGAGGGTGTCGTTTACGGCAAAACCAGCCCAAGGTCACCGCCTCTACGTATCTACCAGAGGTCCGTGCTCCCGCCCCGTTCCCACAATATTAATGCTACTGACAGATATAAGTAGACGTAAATTTGTTGACTTGCAGGTTCCGCTTCACGAGTAGCCTGCGACGCATGTCGACGGTTGTGGGGTACCAGGGCACGACTGACGTGGACGTCACCTACATGGCTTGCGTGAAAGGCTCTCCCGAAGTGCTCAAGTCGATGTTCGTCGACGCACCGATGGACTACGACGACGCCTACCTCCAGATGGCCAGACGAGGCGCACGTGTCCTCGCCCTCGGCCAAAAGACTCTTGGCCGCCTGAGTCATCAGGAGGTTGGTTTTGCTTCTCAAGTATTCCATCGAAAGACGCTCTTCCACCACGTGGTCAACATTCCCCCTGTAGGTGCGTGAACTGAAGCGCGAGGCTGTGGAGTGCAATCTCAACTTTGCCGGGTTCGTGGTCATCTCCTGCCCCCTTAAACCGGACTCCCACAGCGTCATCCAAATGCTCAAGTCATCCTCTCACCACATCACCATGGTTACCGGGGATAATCCACTCACAGCCTGCCACGTCAGCAACCTTCTTGGAATTACGCGCAAGGACACCCCAATTCTCGTCTACACACCCTCCAATGAACTCGGTACTGGTTGTACCTAACTTGCTTGGTTTCGATTGGTTGATCTCAAGATTCGATTCGGGGTTAGCTTGGTTTTGATTGGTCAGCTTCTCGATTCAACATGCGATTGGCTTTTTCTCGTAATCCTCACTTTTCACTGGTTTCTCCCTAAGCGAAATTACTTACTTCCAATTTTATGTGGCCACATCTCTTTTTTGTTTGGGACGACCTCATATTTATCATCATTGTCTGTTGTCTTGAATGCTAGATGCCGGTTGGCATTGGCAATCGATAGACGACAAGATCGTGATCCCCTGCAGCAGTGCCCCCAGCCCCGTGGAGACGGATCGGCTGGCGAAGTCGCACGAATTCTGCCTCACCGGCGACGGCATTGAGGCGTTGCGTCGCGACGCCTCCAGCCAGCGCGCTCTCATGTGCATTCTGCCCAAGACCAAGGTGTTGTCGCGCGTCGCTCCCAACCAGAAGGAGTTCATCCTGGCGAGCCTGCGTCAGCTCGGCTACACCACGCTCATGTGTGGCGACGGCACCAACGACGTCGGTGCGCTCAAACAGGCCCATGTCGGTGAGTTCTTTTCGCCCTCTTGTCCGTTTTAAGGTGAACAACTCACCTCCAAGAGCTTCCATTGCTGTCGGAAACGGAGATTACGTTTGTGGGGGTCCCAGACAGTTGTCACCGTGCCGTAGGCTTTAGTTTTTTGTGGAAATGTAATCGCAGCCACTGGAGGACAGTGCTGTGAGTGTCATTCTTGAGCCACACACCATTTCAAATCGACCGCGCACGTCTCTCCTAACCATCTCATTGGCTAGAAAGGTCACCTAAGGCATTTTAGTGTATTCGAGCCCCAAACTTCACTCGAACGACCTTGCAAAGACGCAGTAACCTCCGCCCGATTTCGATTGGTTGGTTGGGCAAAGGCGTTGCTTGTGGTGGAGGTTTAGCGTGAGCTAGAGCGAGAGAGAGAGTAATCAGCATAATTTTACGACGGTAGGGGAAAAGAGCTGTACTCAATTAACGCATCAGATTTCACACACTTATGAGGTGAGTTGTGGGAGGATTAGTATGACTTTCGCGTAGCGAGTGGATTTTCAACAGTTCTGGCTGCGTTTTGTCGGTAACCTTAGCGACACCCACACGAATCGGTGATTTCATTGGTCGGCAAGAGAGCCACCACCACCCCTACCATCACCACCACCACCCCTACCACCACCATCCCTACCACCGCCACCCCTACCACCACCACCCCTACCATCACCACCACCCCTACCATCACCACCACCCTACCACCACCACCCTTACCATCACCACCACCACCCCTACCATCACCACCACCACCCCTACCATCACCACCACCACCCCTACCACCACCACCACTCCTACCACCACCTCCTCCACCTTGATAGAACAACTTGATCAAATGAACTGCTGTTTTTTTTAAACTCGATCCCCATTCGCAGCGGGTGGACTTCGTTTTGTCTTGTAGGTGTCGCACTTTTAAATGAAATTCGCACAGAAAGCGAACGTCCGCCATTAATTGAGCTCTTCTACGTCCACGGTTCACCCGGTAACACCACTACCCTCAACTAACACCTCTCCCCCTTTTAGTCTCTTCCTCGTACTAACTTACCTAACCCAAGTCCAATTGTAGTGCAAGTTTTAAGACAGTTTTCATTCTAACACCAACATGTCGAAATCTGACGTAGTTAAGCCTCGTTAACAAACACAGCTTTTTAAATGAAGGCCTTTCCGCAACTGAGAGTTAATTCTAAATATCAACCGTGAATGACAAATTGTTGGTTGTCTGGAACTGAATATGGTTATGCCTCAGGTGGCGATTCGTTCACCTCTCATTCTCTGACCGCGTCCTCCCTCTCTTCTTCTTCCCTTCTAGGTGTTGCTCTCTTGAACCAGGCCCCCACGACTCTGGTTTCGGCGAAAAACGGTCCGAAGGCCCCACCACCGAACCCGCTTCTCGGTCGTCACAGCCAACAGCTCACCGCCAAGGCGCTGCAAGATCTGGCCGCGGAAGACGAGGTGCCGATTGTGCGTCTGGGCGACGCCAGCATTGCTGCGCCCTTCACAGCCAAAATGTCCTCGGCTATTGGAGGTTTGTGGCTTCGGTGGTTCGCACTCTGCGCAGATCAGTGATTTCATTGGTCGAGGCGAGGGCACGCACAACGCGCCGTTTTAAACCTCGACTGTTTTCGATTTGTGCTCTAGCGGGCGAGGCGTTTTGTCTCGCCAATGGTGATTATTCGCTTCAGAAAGTGCAAGATTATGTCGCGTTTGTGATGATTCGTTGCGCTAAGTGGACCCAATTGTTGGGTCGTTTTGTCTTTCACGTCACCACCGCCGCCGCCACCACCACCACCATTCAACCCGTTCGGTCACTGACATTATCACCCCCAACATTTGAAAATTCCGCCAATTAAAACGCATGAATACCACTAGCCTCGCCACCAAAGCAAATCTACTACACGTGGCGCATTTAAACAAACTGTCTAAAAAGCTGCTTGTCTTGTGCCGCCATCATTTCGCAAAAAGTAAGCATGTTAACTGGTGCAAAAGTGGAAGATATCGCAGAACAGGCACGATCAGATGTCCCATTGCAGCGCAAACGGCAACTACTTCTGTACGAAGTAGTGTTGTTATGTTAAGCACAATTTCTCAAATTTTCACACCCTACATCCGCGTGTTTATATTTTACTGTCCCATTAAAATCGCGACATCCACACATTAGTCATGGCTTCGGCGTGTACTTTTAGATTGTGAGTGATTTCTGCACTTTTAGACATGCTAACAGGCGACAACTTAGCACACTTTATGGCACAAGTTCTACGTTCTATTTTATGACTTGTAGAAAAGGCGATTTCAGTAGAGGATGTGATTCGGCACTTTTGGTGTGGTTGATCACACTTCAGCCACGATCGATGCTGTTGAAAACGATGCATTGTAGACGCTGGGGTTAGTTCCGTCCAGTGGGCACTTTGTCGAAAACAATGAGCTTTTCCACACGGCTCGTTTGACAGTGCCGCCAGGGTCGCATTAGCCCGGTGTCAAAGCCGATAATGCATTTAAACAAAATCCACTAATCCGTTATTGATTGCCAAATTTTGGACGGAAATGTTATGAGTTTGCGTTGATGCACTCTTCATTTTCTTTTAAATCGTGGGTTGAGGAATAATCAGTGCGATTTCGCTAAACACAACCCTCTGAGTGTACAAATAGTGGCTCTTCTCCCCATCAAAGTAATCCGATTGGTTAATTGCTAAACCAGGCGTCCATCAAGCATCCGAAACACTTCAAGGGGAGTTGATTCTCCAGCTCAAAGCCACAGATAACCTGCAGCCGGAGGTACTTGCGATCTGCTCTGACGACTCACGATCTGCCAGGTGATCTTGTAGTTCATCGGGTTGAGTTGCGTGGTGACCTTGAGGGGCCAAATTTGCCGCCTGTGGAGCCCGGAAGCGGTAAGATGAACCGAAAATGCCTTCTAGCAACAACCAAGTTCTCTTGCTGATGTCGTGGTCGTGCCTAGTGAGAAGTGTCAAAACGACCGTTTATTGGCCCTCTCTGCCTCTAATCGATAAGCCCACTGAGCTTGCCGCGAAATGTGATAGGCTAGTTTGTTGAGGACTGACCTTGAGAAATGAGAAGGGAACCAATCCCCACTGCTTTTGCTCCCCTCTCCCCCTCCAGTGTGTCATATCATTCGCCAGGGTCGGTGCACCCTCGTCACGACGCTGCAGATGTTCAAGATCCTCGCCATCAACTGCCTCATCTCCGCCTACAGCCTCTCCGTCCTCTTCCTCAAGGGCTTCAAGATCTCCGACGGACAGGCCACAATTCAGGCCCTCCTCATGACTGGCTGCTTTCTCTTCATCTCGCGGTCCAAGGTAACACGCTTCTCTACTCACTACCCTATAAGTAGTGTATTCGTCTGGGATAGTTTTTCTAATTCGGGGGACACCCGTTTTAAAGTGTCGGTGGCGCGATAGCCTTCATGGTTCCACCGACCAATGAAATTGTATTTCCGCCGTCAAGGGGTATTCGTGGCACTTCCGTTTCCCTCAAAAACAGAAGAAATTGTCCGTAACTCGGTGAGGTTTGTCGGCAATCGGAAACCCAGTGCTGTGGCAGTTGTTTACGCGCCGGATGGTCTAGTCAACAGACCGTTTACTACCGCGGTGCTGGTGTCATTCCACCACCCCACAATCCCTTTCTTCCCGCCCCTCCCCCATACCCTTTTAACGAATTTCCATCGTCGTAGCAATTTGGATCAATAGAGGGCTAAAGGAACCCCCCCCCCTAAAATCCAACTCTCCAATCAAAGTGGGGCCCTGTGTGTGTGGGGGGTAGAGTCGACTCTTTACTGGTTGGGTGAGGTTCCCAACCTTTCTCAAGGTCACCGCTTTCCTACTTGTAGCCCCTAGACAAGTTGTCGCAGAAGCGGCCTCTGCCGAACGTCTTCAACCTCTACACTCTCCTCACCGTCGGCGGACAATTCGCCGTCCACTTTACCGCCCTCTACGGCCTCATCACCGCCGCCGAAGCTCAGATGCCACCGCTGTAAGTGAAGACGCACTCTCTCGATGTCCTCTTGTGTGTGTGTGTGTGTGGACTTAATGGTCAGCACCTCTTGAGTCGATATCACCCGCGTACACCCTTGCCTACTCATGTTTTTGAAGCCCTGGACGATGTCGGCATCCCGGAACCCGTCTCGACAACCACATTCCCGCCTGAGCTCTGTCAGGAGATGCGATTTGGCGATAACTTCAGTCCAGCTCTGGCATGATGCGTAGATTAGTTTTTTGCCCAGATGTGGCAGTTAAAATTTGGAAAAAAAGTCGGCCTAGTTTTAACATATTTTCACAAAAAAAAACTTGGAAATTTCAGTGTCGGTTAATTGCTTAATTTTGCGACCACAAGCGACCGATGCTCTGTCCGCCGAAGTGTCAGAGGTCACGTAATTTTGTACGCACATGTTCCCTGTTTCGGCGCAGAAAAAAAAGCAACGATTGCAGGCATAAATTATACACCTCACAAAAGAGAATACCTGTGCGCGAGCGCGCGAGAATTCATTAATTTCGGAAGAGCTTGCCGAAAAGGCACATGACTTGCCGCCCAGTCGGTGCTTTTTCGTACTGGGCGTGTGTGTGTGTGTGTGGAAGTCTTTTTCTCCCTCTTTCGAAGAATCTTCCCCTGGTTGCAAGAGAAACTCTAATTCATCATTTCGGTACCCACGTCCTCGTTAACTCAAGAGGTGGTGTTAGTGACTAGACGGTGTGTTCGCGGTTCGATTTTAATGCTCTGCGGTGGTTTGGGGGGTTAGGCAGGTTGAAAAGCTGTTGGCAAACCACTATCACCACTAATCCAATCACTGCAGCCTCTTCCTCTACTACTAACCTACCACTGCAACCTCTTCCTCAACCACCACGTCCAACACCATCTCCATCACCACTTTCTCTACCGCCACCTCCTCCACCACCATCACCTCCTATATCTCCACCACCGCCTCCATTACCACCTCCACCATCACCACTTTCTCCACCACCACCTCCTTCACCACCATCACCGCCACCTCCACCATCACCTCCATTACCACCTTCGCCACCACCCCCTCCACCACCATGATCACCTCCGCCACCAACTCCACCACTATCACCACCTCCACCACCATGATCACCTTCACCACCAACTCCACCACTATCACCTCCTCCTCCGCCGCCGCCGCCACCACCACCACCTCTCCCATCCTCCACCACCACCATCAAAGCAACTAACTTATTCAACCTCCGCGGTCACCGACATCGTCACCTTTAACAACTATCGTCACAAGACCGATCTATGAAAGCATTAGATCTGTGATTCCGAGGAGAATAGCGGTAGTCTGTATCCAGAATCGCGACCTCTAGAGTGTTTATGTGTGAACCCCTAAACCTGGTTTTTTTTTCTATGCTTCTCGGATCGGACATCCATTGTTCTGCTTCTCGATTTTTTTTTCAGACCCGAAGGTGAATTAATCGACATCCACGCCGATTTCAAGCCGACCATTCTCAACACCGCGGTCTATCTCATTTCCACTGCATTACAAGTAAGTGATTCCTGGTTCCCACCGATCGTGTCTACCGATATTCTCCGTTGTTGGAATTCACAATCAAATCCCGACTATTCCGCGCCCCTCCCCCCATATGCGCGCTGAACCGTTTCCCTCGGCGTTACCTCAGTTATCCTCAGATTCACTTCTGTGAGGTTGTGGGTAGTGGGTTTAGGGTCTGCGTGTCGCTCTAGTGAGGCTAAAATTGGCAAACTCTTGTTGCGGTCCAGTGAGGAAAGCGAACACCTCACGCGCCGCGTGGGAGACTGCTCCCACAGCATGAATATTAATTAGTCCATCTAGTCCCCTTGGGCAAGTACTCTTACTAATTCTTAGACTACGGCTAGATCCACTCGCTCTCCCTCTCCAGTCTATCTTTCTATGAAGTAGACGATTGTGCCAGTTACCGCCACCTTACACATTGATAGTCCTGTTAACCTCTTGAGGCGTCTGTCGTAGCTGAAGTACGAGCGTGATCTCTAAGTCATCCACGAACACACTTCAACCTTCCGCATTTCTGTTGAGCCAACCCCAACTTGGTAGAAATATCAGTGTCGCCACGTTGAAATGATCCGACTACTCCACATTAATGCGTGATAAGATCAATTAGGCTGGAATGGACGGACACAACTGTTCATTAGACAGATTAGCTACGTTGCTGTGCTCGCTCAGGCTCGTGTATCTTTACGTCCGCATAACCAAGGCGACGGGGGTAAACACAGATTACACCAACGCTCTGCGCTTGCCTGCTTGGAATTCGCAAACTTTGTGTTTTTGTTGCAAACCTCCAGGTCTCCACGATCGCGGTCAACTACGAGGGTCACCCCTTCCGTGAGTCGCTCTTCGAGAACAAACCGCTTCTCAACGGTCTGGCGTTCGCCACGGCTGGAACTGTCGCGCTCGCCTTCGGGGCCCTCTCCGACAGCCTGGAACTTGTCCTCCTGGACGATCACGTGAGTCATGCGACGTGGCTTTGCCTGGTATCGGCACTGACCTGTGGCATTTCCAGACACCCAGTTGGTGTAGTGTGTTGGCGAAGCGTCTCCAGAGGAATCTAGGCAGGTCTCAGCATCTAGGCATTCTCTTCGACTCCTTGTAAATGAGTGTGTACGTGTCGGTGGTTACGACGTCTTTTTTCCCTCAAGAAATGAGACACAGCCTTGAAAATGGAACCACGAAGCCGTCGATTTGTGTTTCAAAAGGGACCACGCGCTCTTCAACTTGTGGAGTTGAGTTGCCATCTCTCTAGAATCGTTTAGTAGTTTGAGGTAATCGGCCTTAAGACCATCAAATCGGTTTCGTATGGAACAAGAAGACGTGCTTTTTCAGCAAACTTATTTGACGTAAACATTAGAGAGCAACGAACTCAATTTTGGACATATCGTCCATCGTTTTCCATGACCTTGCGCCATCCCTCAGATAACGCACGAACGCCCTCGCGAAAGAAACTTGCAGACTTCGAGGCAGTCGAGTTGTCACCGACGACGCACGTACGCGCGCGTCCTCCAGCGTTTTAGGAACTGTGCGGGAGAACTTCCCATCCCAAGTTCTAGAGGGTCTTCTGAGCCGCGCGAGCAACGTGAGGTGGTTGAGCGCTGTCCTGCAGCAGCAGTAGCAGCAGTATGACTTGCTTGTTTCCTTACCCAGTTTGTTCAATTGTCAGCTGTAGTTCTTCAACCTGTAAAGTTGAGTTGAAACCGGCCTGGCTTACCTTCAGACCGGGCTTGGCCTTTTTGAGATTCGGTGTGACCTTGAGTTGACATCTAGGGTGGGATTCACCCCTGTCTGCTATATCGTTATTAACAAGTCTAATCAAGCCCTTTTCATGGGCCCTAGTTAAGCAACTGTTTTTCTCGAAGCAGTCGGCAGTAAATTTTGCCTTTGGCGTCGGTTATAACCATGTTTTTCTGCAAATGCGTGGCATTTTCGGACAATTTATGGCCTTGCAAACACCGGTATGCTAGTGATGGTGGTGGCTGTGTCAGCGGAGGAACAATTTGTCCCACCCCCCCTCCTATTTTTTTGCTAATTTTCCACCAATCACACAAGACTCCTGACACCCTGGGATCACCCACTAATTATCGATTTCGTGCCAAAATTGCCAGGCATCTGCTGACGGGCGTTGTGGTCTAGCACAAACTATCATCGTGTGGCGCTCAGATTCCGCCCAATTACCTTGTTGTGGGCCCCAGCATGTGGTCTTGAACCACGCCGGGGCCACGGAATTAACCCTGGCTCGATCACGTTTCCCTGATATCCGCAACGAGGAAAAAGACCGGAGAGGACGTGGACACAACCGTTTACTTCAGAGCTCAACCGAAACTGATGTCGTTGTGTCGCGTGTTGCGTTTGCGCGTGTGAGTCATACATGCACTAACATCGAGACCTAGGTGTGGGGATACTCCAAGATAAATATCCATGTGAATGAGGGGGGAGTTGGGGATCCGCGCGGCTGGCGACATGCTGCGAAAAGGGGAACCCTGTGTCGGAGGTGGAGCGACCGGATTAAGCGGTGTGAATAAACACGATGCCCAATTCCCTCTTGGTTCACTCGCTTGAGCAACGAGGGCGGTATCGTCACCAGCCAACATCGCCCACACTGGCTGTCTGACTTGTGAATTATTAATTCGCCGAAGAAATTGAAGAAGGAGAAGAAGAAGAATGAGACTCACCAGGGCATATTTGCACTGAAAACTTTCTCGTCACATGTGCACTCACTGAACTTTAAAAAGTACTTATCAAATCCCTTCAATGTAGTTTCTGGAAGTAATGGCGTAACTTCTAACGGGACTTGTCGTCTCACCAGGTCATAGCAGCTGTTAGTCTCGGCTAAAAATCATCCGTCCACCCTCGATAACAACGAACGCGAAGCCCAAATACCGTCCGCAACCTCGTCTTTTGATAGCGTTGAAGTGCGGTGGATCAATTAGGTTGGAATGTACCTGTCCATAGCTTGAGCCATCTTGTCAGCCTGTAGTCATTTTCGCCCTTCACTCGCCACACTTTGAACGAGGCGTTTCGTGGAAAGCATCATCCACACGCGCATCCGAGTTAACTCCAAGAGCCTAAGCCACCACGTGGTTGTTTATTTTTTTTCCATGTTTGTTGTTGCCGTGCCAACTCACCGTCTCTTTGCATTCGCAGCTTCGCCTGGTCTTCTTCCAAGCCATGATCTTCGACTTCGTCGCAGCGTGGACCGTTGACCGGCTGCTCTTCCTTCTGTTGGGACGTGTGCCTATGAAGAAACTCTAGTTATCGACCTCCCCACCTACCACCTCCTCCTCCTCCTCATTTCCTGTGTAGCTGTGATGCCACTGTCCAGCCCTCCCCTCTTCGTATTCGTGTGTGTGTGTGTGGTTCCATGCCTGCAACGTTTCTGAGTTGTGTCGTTGGAAAGGTAACTTAAAGGAAATTGGATGTCAATCTCTTCCTCTTGACGCCTCAGTGGGGTGGGGTTGAAGGGTACTTGGGTGATCGATCCCTCCACAAGCGTGCATGCCTTTCAATGTTGGAAAGCCAGGCTCGAGACTGTTAAGAGATGAGGTTGAACCACTTCACCGATGGCTGGGTAGAAATGTCTCAATCGAAGCCACCCGGTTTGGGGCATTTCAGGTAGACGAGTGGATTTTTCGAGATGGGGCAGCGGGAAGTAGTGCTCTTCATTGTCAGGTTGCGGTTATAATCACATCACAATCGAATTCCTAATTCCCAATACAGTGTTATGGCAGAGATAGTTGAAAGCAATCACTGGCATTAATTCGGTTGCGGCGTTTCCCAGCGTAATCGATAGTCTTCCATTTGGATCAATGCAGCTATGCTTTGTCAACCAATCAAATGCTCCTTTCCATTTGACGGAACTTTTCCACAAAAAGATGACTTTTGCCGGCAAACGTGTAGCATACTCTTGAAGGATAGCAAAAATCAATAATTAACACATTGGTGCCCCACTGGGCAATTAATAGCTAGCACCTTTTGAGGTGTTATGCGATTCCACGGTTCCATCAGCACAGTTGGGACGCTCTGGCACATCTGACGCTTCACTCCGTGACATCTTCGATGCTTCCCAACAAACCAGTAAGGAACAAGAGCAGAACGTTTGCATTCTGGTTCGACATGGGCACGCTTCATTTCTACGGGCATTTTGAAATTTACTTAATGCGAGGAATCCCCAGCTTGACATCAAACAAATTGTGAAGATTCCGGTAGGCGCAAACTTGAGCACTTCACAAAATCTGCTTTCCCAGTGTTCACCGTGCACGCAATTTTAAATAGAACCTGTTTTCAAATTTGCTCAATTTTAAACAACAGTTTGCGTGTGTGGCGTGTTTCCGGTGGTCTAGAAAGCGAAACGAATCTCCCGCTTTTTGCGGTTTGTGCTTTGCTTAAAGACGTGCAAGGTAAATATGTGATTTGGGGTTGCGGTGTAACTGGATGTGGAATCGACGCCTCTAATTCGTTGATTGGTTAGGCAGGAGTCTCTGAAGTGGTCATCGAATTTCACCGGCACAATGCAGCTGTACCTGTGAATCACAAGTTTATCCAAAATGCATTTCAGACTACACTACCACACAAAAATCGTGCAATTTTCTTCCTCCTCACAGCAAAATCTTCACCAGAAGCAACTTGTCTACCCAAAAAATTCATCATTCCACTTGAGATATTAATTACGTCTGGTTGTTAGAGGTATCGACCAACCAGAAGCCAATTATTCTCCCACTCTAGTCGACTTGTTAATGTCCACAAGACGAAACACCATTTGGTGCATTTTAGTGTTCGAATAGAGCTAATCAGAAAGAGAGTGAATGATTTGCAGATCATGCTCCACACTTGGATTCAGTAATGCGATATCGAGGGTGCAATTCGGATGGGATGCGTGAGCCCTGTGCTGATGACTCTGAAATGTTGACTTGAACTGCGCAAACAGTGGCATGTAGCGACGTCTGGCAGCTTGAAATGCGCCAAAACAGAAGTCACTGAAGCGTAAATGTCCACACTTTGCACGGGCGAAAGGCAAGTGTCATTCAGTGGTGCTTCGCTGCGCACGGTTGCAACGCACCTCCTGCTGTGGGCCAGGAAATGCTGCTCATGTGTGTGGCCGTGCCACCCCACCGCCATCTCCTTATCGCGTTGTCGTCCAGCAAACACGTTGGTGAAGTGTTGCTGTTTTGCTGGTGAAGAGCCTTTTGATTGGCTGCCTCGTCTTGACGGGGGTTTGACGTCTTTGCCACCGGAAGCGATTTTCATCTGGCAGAACCCGTTACCAGTGGCACTTGTAGCACAAGTGACCACTTGCAAAGTGGCTTTGTGTAAAACGTGAGCATGCAAACGCGTCATTTAACAGAATCAAACTACTGTGCACCCACAAACCTCGCTTTTCTGTCGTGAAGGGACATCGATCATCTGATCGCAGGTTGCATTGGTTATTAAAGTGAGGCATTTTGCTTGGACGGTACCAAGGTGAACCCAGCAAGCATGTGATACACGTCTTCTCACAAAAACAGACGACTTTGCGTAGTTAAACTGCGTTGTCAAGTCTGTGAGCTTGAGCGATATGTAGGGGTCATGGTCAGATTGTGTTTGTTTTAATGCGTTACAAACCCCTTTGGATAGTCTCGCCACGTCATTTCTATGATTGGATCCTCTTAATCAAGCACATCCCACGAAACTCTTTGATGCCGCAGTGAGCAGATTTATTAATGTGCCAGATATGTCTATTTCTTCCCATCACAATTTCGAGGGTTTCTCAAAAATTGATAAATAACACGTGGGCACCCCACGAAGCCATCTGCAAGCGTTCAAGGCCTTCTGTGATGGTATTCCACGATACAGTGGTTGAGTCCCATCAGCACAGTTGAACATTCTGCACATTCAGGCACATCTGGCACTTCACAACGCCAGATTAATTGACGAGTTGGCAGAGAGTTTGCTGGCAAGAGACATCGATTTTTGAATACACGTGAACTACCGGTTACATGTGATTAAGTAGAGACAGCTGACATACGTATATGTTAGAATTTGGTGTTTTCTCTTTGAAGGACATGCACTAAACGCTAAGCAG